CACTCTCTACACCCCTTGCGGCCACGCTCCACCACCCCGCGCCAAAACTCCCCCAACCCCAACGCTACCCCCTTTACAGAGGACAGCGGCCCCCTTACTCTATGCCAGCCATGAAACTGTATTGTGGTTTATTTTTAATGATTTATTGCAAAGCAGTTTGCTAAGACGCCGTTTTAAAAATCTATCTATCTATCTATCTATCTATCTATCTATCTATCCATCCATCCATCCACTCGTCGCATGTGTGGCCGTGCGACGCTGATTGGAGGTAATGGGAGGTTCCCGACGAGGAAGAGGCAGCAAGGCGCACTGCTGGGCCATTAGGAGGTGAACCCCGTGCGACTGTGCGGCGCCAAGGTGAGGCGGAACACGAGGGGACGCCGTTCTCAAGAGACAAAACTTCGGAACGAAACATTTGTGCGCACAAATGAGCAGTGTATTCTGCATATTTTTGTCTCGGGGTGGCGGGAGACAGGAGAGGGGGAGCGGGTTGTGGTAGTAGCTCCTCTAAAAATGTTATTGCATGACTAAAAGGGGTCACACACACACAAACGCACACACACATACACGTGCTGCGGCGGGAGGTGCACGTTGTTATTCAGCCCTGGACACTTGTTTACTCGCGCGAACGTATTCAGGTGTTCACACACACACACACACACACACCATGTGGAAAGGGATGGGGAGAGGGGGGGTGGGGGAGGGCAGTGTCCACCGCCCTCCACGCTCCGCCACGCCCTGCGCGCCAGCTCGCACACAGACTTACTTCTGCGGCGCCGTGGTGCCGTTTCCGAACCATCGGCTTCCAATTTATGTCGGTAAGTTTGTGAGCGCGCGCCCGAGAGAGAGAGAGGAGAGCGCGGGAGAGGGGGTGCAGGGAGAGGGGGGTGGGAGGCTGGGTATGTCTCTCTCCCTCTCACCGCCCCTCTTATCCAGGGGGTAAGAGAGAGGGAGAAAGGAGGGGGGGGGGCTGTTCCGTCATGTGTGAGCGTGTGTGTGTGTATGTTTTGTCAGTTTCCACTTGAAGGCAAAAAAGAAATAGTGGGAGTTGAGTCCGGAGCGGGGACGGCGGCGGCGGGCGGGACCATGGGACGGATAGAGCGGCGAATTTACGGGAGTTGGTGATCGGATGTGAAGACGGCGGAGATACACATTTATGGAACGTCGCTGGGGGGCGGCGGCGGCAGACAGACATATGTGTCGCGTCCTTTGTCGCGCGTGCTCCCTCGGTGAGCGGAGCAGCCCAGAGACAGAGAGAAAGAGAGAGAGAGAGAGATAAAGAGTGAGAGAGAACGTAATGATAATTTCCCCTTCGGAACACCTTACCCTGATGAGACGTGGATGCGGAGGGTGGCTGAGCGTGGTGGTGGGAGGCTCTGCCCAAGGCTTTGGCCGCTGTGGATGGCGCCGCACCGCGCCTCCTAGATGTACGGCCTGTGGGCAGAAGGGGATGGTGTTGGTTATAAAACATGTTGGCGCTGCGGAAACCCTAGGCCGCGCCGCCGTCCGGCATTATTCTTTAGGCAAGTCCACGATCGATATTAACGTGCGCTCTGCTGTAAAAGGGGAAGGTAATGCTCTCGCTATGAAGTAAGTTACTCCCGCACTGGCAAAACAATGCGAGGATATCCAACCATCAGACGGCATTACCTCAAGGCAGAACAGTTTGTTAGCGTTTTTCAATATATTTTCTTGGTATGGAATAAAATTAAATTCTGAGGGCAATTATCGTAAACTACACAAACGTTCGGAACGTTCTGTTAAAAAATAGCATAGCGCGATTCAACTTTTCAGACTTTTGTCTTGCTGCCCTACAGCTTGTTCCCTCGATCGACGTGTAGTTTTATTTTATGGGTAATAGGGTGATATATTACACTATGTAATTGCTTTGCTCGTATTTTGAGTATTTAAAAAAAAAGTGCACTTTAACGCCCTTGGAAAGGAAGGATAACTCACCTTTGTTTCCCCATAGCGTAGTTTGCGGCTTTTGAAATTTTTTTAATCAATTATTTTTGGTTTGCTGTTTTTAGCAACCGTTAAACATAGTGATCGTAAAATAACATTTTTACAAAGCATGTCATATTGAGTAAATGTGCGAAAAATATTTTTTTTAGCAGCCTGTGCGATTGGCTGACGTCACATGACATAGCGCCACCCCTTGGCCTCCCCTCTCTCCATATTCAACGCGCATGTGCTGCCTTCTTTCCCCTGAGGGCATGATTGGACATAGGTTCATTATTACGGTGTGCGACTAATCATACGTTATGCTCCCCCCACCTTTCCCGACCCCTCTCCCTCCCTTGCCATCTCCCTCTTTCTCTCTCTCCCTATATCTCTACGCTACTCTCTCATGCCCTCTCTTTATTGCTGTTCCCTGTCCAATATACATATATATGTATGTACACACATGTACGTGTTTTGCCACACCACCCCCATCGCAACCCATTTTTTTCACGCCTGTGATGGTCTAACGCTTTAATTTTAATTTCGTGTTTATTGTGGAAATGGAAGGAGCAGCATCTGGCCAAAAGCCGCATACGTATTTGAAAAAGCCTTCCTTTCTGATAAAACGCCGCTCGGTACAGCATTATAAAAATAAACAAATACATGTATTGCAAAGTGTTCATTTGAAATTTACAACTTTTTGCAATTTACACCCAGTGAACAAGTCAGTGGATGCAAAGGCATTATTACGTGGCTAGACCTTCCGTTTTGCAGTCTTTTCTTTTAAAACATTTTATTTTGTCGTGCCTTCACCGTTTTTTTTGTGTACTCTCTGTTCTGCTCGCCTTTCTTCCCTCACAAACAAAAGCATTGTTCCGTGATAAATATTTTGGGCGCGCCCGCGTGATATACCTTGATGGCTTTCGCGGTGTAATTATTGTGATAAACACACCGAATGCATATTATGTTGCGCTTATTCTCTATTTTTCGCCCACTACCCTGCCATGTGCCTCTCTCTCTCTCTCTCTCTCTCTGTCTCTCTGACCTGTACTCATCCTGGTCTCTCGTTTTTGTTGCAGGTGAGTGAACAGAGACGCACACAGACCCCTTTACGGTCCCCGACAACACCGCCCGACATATGGAAGGGTGAGTCCGGCTGCAATGTTCACACGCTGCTTTCATACTCGCGGCAAAAGTTTACTTTATTCCTAGCAGTGCTGCAAAAGACAAAGACGCAGAACACGTATTGCCAGTTGCAACTGTTACCAACAACACAAAGGCATTTTACGTGCAAATCAGTAGTAATCAACGAAATAGCAAATAAGTTGGACGGAAGTGCAATCCTCTTTGTTTTTTTCCTGTTATTGAGCGAGGTATTTAACGTCTTACTCGATGGGAACGAGCGAGCGCTCGGCGCTGTCAGGTTTCGCAGGGTGTGGTGGGGCGTAGTGGGGCGGGGCGAGGCGGCGCGGGGTGGGACAGCGGGCGGTCAGCCGTCCTTTGAAGTGACCCGGCGTGCCGCGGCGGGAGTCGAACACGCGAAGCCGCCCTGCGATGCCTGCGCGCGGAATCGCCCTGAGTCATCTTACTCGCCGAGCCGCGGCTGATTTTGTTTTGTTTGCGTCGGCAGTCAGTAAAGTCTGCTAGAGAAGGAAGCACAGTCGCACGGGCAGCGTCCGTTGAACCGTGAAAACGAGTAGTTGGCTGTGTGCCTCCAATTGTTATTGTGATGATTGTAAACAATGCGATATTGTTTCGAGATTCATAAATGGTGAACGTTATAATACATATGAAAATATTCTCACGATGCGAGTGGCGCGGATTGCTCTCTTGCCGTTCCTCCGGACTGTTGTTGTGCTTTTCGATAAGTAGAAGTCACAAGAAACACAATGTAAAACAATTTTTAAACCTTTGCTTTACATACGTGAGCCTATGGAATGCCGACGCATCAACGCAAACAAAACAACACAAAACCAGCCGTATATGGTTTGTCATATACCCTGCAAACCCAACATTGTACTTCGTAGACAGACACAAGGAAATGTTGACCTGCAAGGACAAACATTCAAGTGTGTGCTTCCGTCCAAATCATCGACCCATATTTTTATAAACCGTTGTTTTTAAATTGCAAATACTTTTCCCCAGCCAAATGAACGCAATAAAAACACCTCTCGTGCATAAACCCATCCCTTTCTCGCCTCCCCTGCCTATCTAAATTATCCCCTCTAGGGGGCGAAAAGGTAGCGGTAGTGAAGGCAGGGAGGAAGGGGAGTGCTGAAATGTTTATTGGGGGCCCTAGAACCCGAGAGGCCGCGCGGTGGAGCCTCTTGCCGCCTCCAGCGGCCATACGCGTCTTAGCCAAACGACCTTCTGAATTAATGTCAAAAAATTAGTTACGCTTACTATCCGTGTATATTTGCTACGTGACAGGTGGGGACAGGCGGAGGGGGGGGGGGATCTAGCAGAGGGTTACAATAGAAAAAGAAAGAGAGAGATAGTGAAGAAGTGGGGAAGGAGGAGCCCACAAATGTCGCCACCTGACATTTACAGTGCAGTATCGCATATGTATGAGCAAGCCCGCAGTGTTGCAAATTTTTGTCGCGAAATTAGTCGCAGTATGCGGCACGCGATCGATCTCTTTTTATGGAACACCGTGTTTATTTAAGAGAGGAGAAAATAAAAAAAAAATAATGCTAACGTTTCGAATGATAAATACTCGGCGATAAGCAACCTGAGTGCGTGTTTCTGTTTGCAGTGTGAAGTTGGCCGTTGTTCACATATCGCATCGCAGGGCAGAGGAGGTGGGGGCTGAGAGAGAACCCCCTCTTGTCCCCCACCCCTTCCCCTCTTCCCTTCGTGGCCGGACCTGTGTGCATGCAATGTCTTAGTTTATACAGTACACGGGCATTGCGAGGCACAATGAAGTTGTACCGAGCTCCTCACCCCCCTCCCCCTTTCCACCCTCTCCCCTTACCTCTGCAATCCCTCTCCTTCTTTCCCTTGTGCCCCCCTTCCCCCAATCCACCTCTCTCTCTCGGCACCCTTACACCAGGCAGCCCTGCCGCCGCTCGCCGGCCCTCTTCGTGTACTACATTGGCTCGGCCGTGCAAACCATGAATCTTTCGCTATTTCTCCTGAAAGTTGCTCGCGCCGCGCCATGCCCTTGTAGCCGTGCCGACTTTCCTTTGAACAAAAGGAATACTTATTCATTGCATATTTGTGGGTGCACGCGCGTGCGCCCTAGGCAAATAAAGCGAGGCGCGCGCACGTGGAATAGAAAAACGTTTTGGTGTACACTGCGAAATGGTGCGAACCACTATACGAAACAAAATTACTTCAGTGTAAAAATGGATGGGCTATCGTTTGTCAGTTAACGATATCGCTTAAAAATCAGAAATAATTCCGTAAATTTACGATGATAATTTTTACAGTGGTAGTTGGGGCGGTAAAGGAGATTGGCCCTATCACGTAACCTTGTTCCGCCAATCCCGCCTAAAGGGGAAGGGGCGGGGGTGGGGGGGGGGGGGGGTCTGCGAATCCGATGCGACAATCTCTGTCTGCCGTGGAGTTTGTTTGGTTTCTGTGTTTACCCGACCCGGCTGCTGCTGTTCTCGTCTCGACAAATTGGATGAAGCTATTTGTCAAATCCCCTCCCCTCTTCCTGCCACTGGCGCCTCCAAGGAAAGAAACTATTCTACTTTCCTGCGGCAAGGCAAACAGGGCGGCCCCTATCTCTCAACTCGGCTGCCAGTCGGAAGAACTGAAACCGAAAGATAAAATTGGCGAGACGGCTGATCACCCGGAGATATTGAGAAGCGCCCCGCCCCTCTCCCCTCCATTCCCCTCTGTTTCTCTTGGTCTCTTGCTTCTTCCTCGCTCCTCTCCTTCCAGGGAATTCCCTTACTTTTGGGGAATCTTCCTACAGACGAAAAGGGCATGTTTTCATTCGATGTTTTGATTAAATTTGATCAATCTGTATAGCTATATTGATCGGACAATGATTATGTACGCAGTATCGCTACGTGCTATTTGATCCATACAACATAGGTTTCTGCAGGCCATAGGGAGGGCAAGCCTGAGTTTTGAGTGAATCGAAATAATACCAATGCAGGAACATTTCAAAACTGTTTAAAAGTAAATGTTGGGTTATTGGCTAAAATAATGCAATCAAGGATTTTTTGTTGTTGGTTTAATGGGATTCTAAACTAACAACAATTTTCCTGTGTGTCTACCAAAGATACAATTTTCTGTTAGTGTGATGTGTTATTCCTGTAAGGACTGTCGATCATGTGTCCATGGTCCCAGATATCTGTGAAAGACCCCACCCGTGGCCGCCTCTTGTTTTCCTTCCAGCCCCCTAACTCTCCTACCCTTTTCACCGTGTTTTTGCATATTTTTTTGCATCCTCACCTTACATTTCCCTAACTTGTGTGTTTGTAACCATGAAACGTGTATTGTATTGTGGGTTGGAGATGTGGCATGTACCGGAT